CATTTCGACGGTGGCTAACTTTTCATTTTCTTTCCTTTTAGCAAATCTGTCGCCCCTCATTTGCTTTTTTAATGAAGTTTTTCATGTTTGAAGCCAATTTTAGACGGAGTTTCAACTGAACATTTCTTTAACAGTAATGTAACTGAATCTCAACTTAACTATTGCAAGTGGAGAGATGGAGACTTTTCACGTTAAGGTCATAAGAAGCGGCTGTTTGCTACCTCACAAAAGTTTGCAGTGCAAGTTGTATGAGTAGAGCGGTGAAATGCTTCTTTTCTGACTTTCACCTGTTGTTAGAAAGTTTCAGCGTGGAACATTGCTTCTAAAAACTGGCTAGAATCAGGCAGGACGTATGTTTGTCCGTTTCATTAATATGTGTTCCATTGCAAACTTTTGCATAGAAAGTGAGGTAATGCCGCTAAGAACCGTCGCGTCTTATGACTGTTATTGTGTGAATTTTAAGTCCTCAAGCCTTCCCTAGCGTTCAGCTACGTTACAATTCAAGAAACGTTGTTCGTTAATGACTTTCATTCCCAGGCCTTACACTCTGGTTTAACATTTGGCGATACTCCGATTGCTAAAGCTGCGAGCTGTTTAAGCAGGCTACAAATCCTTGATACTTCTCCTTTGCAGTGACTTGTTAACTCCTAGGCTTCTAGAAGCACAGAAGCGACGAGGATTTAGCCATGTCCCGAAAAATGACGCGCGCTATTCCTGACGTATCGCACCTGACATTTAACAATACTTTAGTTTTATTAGGCATGTTTATTGGCTAAGTTATGTTCATTGAACGATTCATACTTTTTGTGAAAAACTTATTGACAATTTGTATCATGCAATGTTGCGACTGGCAGTGGATTAGTTTTTTTGACACCAGCAGAATCACTTTGACCAACTTTCTGTTTATTCTTGTTCATAAAGGTGCATAGTTAATAGCGGAACTTCAGCCGATTAACTGATGTTCTAATTTAGCATTTTGTTCTGATTAGGCATCAAAACTGTGCCTAATTTGGCAGAAGGGTTTACTTTCATAATTCTACACATTGACGTTCATAAATTAGTTACGCTAAGGACAGAATCGAATCGAACGGCGTTGCCTTCTGTCATTGACGGCAAGTCTTTGAGTCTCCAAAATGCATTTTTCATACTAATTTATGCTATATTTATATATTTTCAAATACTGAAATTGGTTCCTTTGCTCGACCGTTCCGTTCGCGTTTGTAGAGGGGAATACCCACCTCAGCCTGGAAGCCACGGTGAAATTGGCCATCCTTCGGTCACTGCTGTTCGTTTATGGTTTCAGCATTTAAGGTGGCTTGTTAATGAAAGGCAGGCAAGGTTAGATTCATGAACGACCAGAAGCAGCTGCAAACACAATGGAGTTGCATGGTGAAGTGAAGTGAAGTGAACGCAGGGTGAAGAGCACCCGCGGTCTACTGCTGACACTCATGCTTGGCAGTGGAACAACTGCAGGCGATGCTTGCTTCCATAATT